ATATGTAAAGTCAAAACATATAAAGAACATTACTATTTTGTTTACTATCTTGATTATAGAGAATAAAATGAAATAAAATGTCCCTTAATMGTTTAAGAAAACATGTTATGACCATAAAAAATGAATAGAGTTCTGTTCTTTAAAGGAGGCCTTCCGTGGTCAAGTTCAAAGGCAGGTGGAACGTTTATTCCACCCAGGGTGACCACTACATTCTTTTCCATGATGCAGTGTTTCACCTACCATTAATGGGCATCCAGTATATCTCTGAAAACTTGTTTTTTTCTTTGTGTCCACAGACTCCTTCAACAGAACCATGCAGATCATCTTGGAGGTGGTCCCTGCAGACCAATAACAACCAAACACCCACCTCATGAAGGCTTGACGACTAACCCCCATCAACTAAAAAGAGTGAACGATTTTACCGTCAATGAAGATATCTTTTAAAGACAGACGTTTATGTTGAGAGGAGCCTGATTAAAATGTTGTCATTTTTCATTTTTTTGGTTGGTGCAAAAATGTTTGTGTTAATATCAGTACAAACCTTTCAGCAGCTAATAATACTGAGTCCTGAACAAACAGTCAGGATTTAATATTAAATATTTAACTATTTTATTGAGCGCCTGTCAATTAAATCTAAAAATTATGAATAATTACATGCTTTCTGTTAATAAATTATCCAGCTGTTTTATTGTTTAAATTAAGTTCATTTAAATAGGATCCTGTTACTGAAGATAGACGTTTGTCTTTAGTTTTTTTGTCAGAAAGTGGGATTTGTGTACCGTTGGTCAACATTTATAAAGTCTGTTTAACAAATAATGATTCTTCAATGATAAATAATTTGTTTACGACAATGTGACCATTTCTTTTGTTTAAGAAAAAGGCAGATAAACATGCAGATATGACCTTTTTAAGCAATTGTACAATGAAGCTCAAAGTAACTTAAGCGAAAGGAAAAACTGTACTGTTTCCCCCAGGATCTGGGTCTGGGTTTGACATAGGATGTGTGTGTGTGTGTGTTTGTTTGTGTGTGTGTTTGTGTTTGTGTGGACAGGTTTTTCCTACAACGTGGTGAAAATTTTCCCAGAAAAAATAGCCTCGTGGGCACTGAACTGAATCGTGTGGACCAATGCCAGGTCCCCATGGATCCAAATGCTAATTACGGGTGTGGTTAGGTTTAGGGCCAAGGTTTAGGTTAGTTTTAGGGTCAGGTGAGGTTAATTTTAGGGTATATGGTCGGGGTTAGGCTATAAAGTCTAAAGCAGGGGTCTCCAACCTTTATCTACTTAAGAACTACTTTCACAAAATGAAATTGTCCGAGAGCCACTTTTTGCAACATTTAAATTTAAACCATTGGAATAAGCTAGTTTTGCACAAAAACATTGTCTTCATTTCACATGAAACTATCACAAAACACACTGAATTTACGAGTGTGCTTTTTGTGTTTATATGTTCATATTAGTTATTAGTATTTCACACTAATAACTAATAAAGGTTTAACTGCAACATATTTGTCTTGTTAGTCTGAAAATTTGACTCAAATTAAGTCAAACATTTCTGCCAGTGGAGTAAGAACATTTTACTTGGTAAGATTCTTGAAATAAGAAAAAATTGAGTCAAATCAAGTATTTCAACAATCTTACCAAGTTAAATGTTCTTACTCCGCTGCCAGATAATTTGACTTAATTTGAGTCAAATG